ACACACACACACACACACACACACACACACACACACACACACACACACACACAGTCTTAGGAACTTTGGGGTAGTTATGCTCTTTCCTACAGTGTCGTTAGGTAAAAATTAACTCAGCTGTGAGTCTGGGGTTTTGGTGAAAAGCTGCTATCCCACTTTTATAAGCTGTAATCTGGTGAGGCTGTTCTAACTGAAATAAAATATAGGCTTCATCCCACCAATCTCAGCACCAGAAATCCCCCTGGGACACATGAGAGACACTAATTAAAACCCATTATCTCAACTTTTTCTCTTTTCATTCAAAATACCTTCCACTGAAAGCACATGTTTTTAAAACAAAAGTCAAAGCAGAATACAATTTTACTTCAAAATGGTTAAGTTCTACAATGGCAGTTACCTTGATAAATTTAGCTTTAGTGTTTAAATTTCTAAAAGTATCTGGGGAGATTTTATTTAAAGATCTGGTGAATTACTCCTCAGCCCTCTTCTATGAAGGCTAAAATACCCCATGTCGGCAAAATGGGACCAGGCTGCTCCTAAGAAGGCGAATCAGAAAGCCCCGCTCCTCCATTCTCCTTCAAACACAAAAATGACAACACAAGGCAATTCCAAAAAATAAAGGTAGTGATTTGAATTCATAACTATTACAGGAGACAAGAATCCCTTTGAACTATAGAGTGAATATTCCATGAACTGCCAAAAGAATAGATATGTAGTGGAACAGGTGAAGAGAGATTGTTCCTTAGAAGCAAGGATGGTGGAGAGTAATCTCGCACAATTTGAGCATGTTACTTCCTTGAAGGGAGGAAAGGTGGAGGGATGACGAAAGAGAGGAAGACCCTCACCAGGTGGACTGACACAGTAACTGCAGCAATGGGGGTGCAAGTGTGTCAGAAAATAGGTTTTCACAGGAAAGGATAGGGTTCAGATCTGTTCATAGGATTGCTATGAGTCTTCTTCAACTCAATAGGATTTAACAAGAACAATTTCAGGAGACATTCTTGAAATGAGAGGCTCCGAAAATGGGGGGGGGGAAGCCCCACAAAAACCTCAAACAAAAACAAACAAAACCCAAAAAGATTCAAAGCTTTACTTATTTTAATGTAGAAGTCTTCAATAAAGAAATTATTGCTTTAACGTAAAAAAATTAGACCAAACAATAGTTACTGCTTTAAAGTAAAAAATTAGACCAAACAATGAGAAGCAAATTGCCAACTGAGTTTTGAAAAGAGGTAGATTTTACTGCATATGAGCAACTCTGGTGGTACAGTGCATCAGAGCTGGCCTGCTAATTGACAGGCCAGTGGTTTGGATCCACAAGTGTTTCAAGGGAGAGAGGAAGTCCCCATGGCCAGATTTAGTCTTGGAAACAATCCAGATTGACAGCTGGGAGTTTTCAACACACTTCTTGTTTCTTACAGAGGATAGGAAATTAGATGATGAATACGTATAGTTCAGGAAAAAGCCCATTCGTAATTTTCTCTTGTTATGGGATAAACATGAATAAAATGTTTCCTCCAGTATGAGTCTGGCAGCTGAGTGGTAAAGGGTTGAGCTGCTAACTCAAAAGGCATGTGATCTGAATCCCCCAGCTGCACCTCAGGAGGTTGGATGGCAATCTATCACCAGATTTACTGCCTTTGAAAACCCTCTGGAGGGTGAGCAATGCATCAGTTCCAACTCATCGACACATTATGACAACGAAGTAGGTGCAAGATTGCTCACATCTGAGTACAATCTTTCAAGATTCTTCATTTTAAGAGAAAACAAAAGCCCATGGAAATTAGCACAAAGCTGCAGTCAGTAATGGACCAGTGTCCAAGGTGTTTTTACTACTTTTTCTTTCAAAAGATTCTCATATGAGAATCCTTTTATCTATCTGTTGGCACCTGAACCAAGTATTTCTGGTTCTACCTCTGGCTTAGAAATTGCATCATAACCAGTTACCAGAATCAACAATTTAACATTTCTCAGGCGATTCTTAGGTGTATACGTGGATTTTTGTTAAAATGTAAATTCCAATCCAGTGTATCTGGGATGGAAACACAAATTCTCCAGGGGGTCCAACCAGAAAAAAAAAAGTTGCTTGGCGCTCTTATTTAACTATAGACAACAAAAAGCAGAGCAAAATTCTGAGCTAACAGGAAATGTTGAACTTCATCATATCCAAATTACTTTCTGCTCTTCAGAAGAAAATGGTTTTAAATAACATGGAAAAAATTATATATACTATTATGTGGGACACACATATCCCAAGTGGTTTCCGGCTGTAAGATTGGTGGGTAGAGACTGTTTCTTCAGATTCACACATATACGTCTCTGCCATGTGGCAGCATATGCAACTGGGAATAGAAGCTTCCCAGGAAACCTGAGAGGTTTATGTCCCACAAGTCACAAAATAGTTAAGGATCAGAAAAAGGGTACTGAAAAGCTAAACACAGGGCTGAGATATGGTTGTTACAGGTATGTCTATTTCATTGCTAGCAAATAAAGGTGGTTGAAACTTCACCAAGAACTGAGGAAGCAGCAGCTGTATCTGGAACAGTACATGGCTGTTATTAGTCATGGATGCCCCATAGTCCACTGAGACACAAGAAATTCAAAGGACAAGCGTATCTCCCCTGTACAAACCCTACTACCTCTTATCCCCCTACCTTAATTGCAATCACCAAATCTTTTTATTGTCAATCTCTCATTTTATTTACCTCTCAAGCCTCAGCGATTTTCTCATTAAATATCTCCATTTCGTTTACTATTCCTATTGCTGCAACTGTCAGCAGTATGTAGACTCTCAAATTTGGCTCCAAAAATTCTTGCCTGGCTATCTCTAGATTAATTCCATTTCCTAATGCTCCTCTAGGGATGTCTGGTGGATTAGTGCTAAGAAGCTGTGCTGCAATCCCAAAGGCATGCGGTTCAAAGCCACTAGCTGCCCTGCAGGAGGATGGGGAACCTCCTCCTGTGTGACTTACTGCCTCTGAAAACCCGCTGCAGTGTCAGTTCTGACTTGACAGCACACAGCAACAACTACACAATGTTCCTTTTATTTAATTAATTATCCACAGTTCCCTGCATCCATACTTCTAGATTTGCAATGCTCTTCAGTTGGAGATGAGCTGCCAATCTAAAGGTGGAGTCTGTTGGTGGTTCAAATTCACCAGTAACTCTGAGAGAGAAAGAAAGGAAATCTTCCTTGCCATTGATAGCCTTTGAAAACTTGCTGGCAGGTCAGCTAAGAGTAGGTTCTGACTTGATGGCAATGAGATTGAGTTCTGAGTTCACATTTTGCTTGGCATACTCATTTCTTTCCACCTGGCTAATTACTGAACCACCTTCTCTGGGAGCTAACTTGACTAAGTAGTTAATTACTCAACAATCTTGGGATTTTCTTGCCACCAAAAAAAAAAAAATAAAAAAAAAATTGGTCATTCAAAAAGAATGTTTTGCTTTAGTTATTAAAAAATGAGAAAGTGCTGGAGGGAGTGCACGTTCCAAAAAAACAGAAGTGCAAGTCCAGCTTACGTGTGGTTTGAAAACTCATTATGAGTAAACAAGAGATGGGTGAAAAATTGTAATTTATTGAAACTCAACTCAAAAAATATAAGATGCTGTAGTGTACATTATATTACACAAAGCACCCTCAGGTGCACATTCAAGTCAAGTAATAACTCCATATCCCTTTCCCTAGCCCTCCCACCATGGGACCGTAGTATTTGTTCCATATACAATCATGCACACTTAATTTGAAAAAGGAAGCCCCATATATTTTGATGTATTAATTAGCACCAAACAAGAGTACAGTTCCATTTCTTTTTTTTTTAATAAACAAAAAAAAAAGACAAAAAAAACCCCAAAAACCCAATCAATAAACCAACTGGAAAGCTAATGGACTCAGCCAATACTGCTGACATAGATATTATACATTCATGTAAATACACAGCCTATTCTACCCTAAACAACGGTGTGGCTGGTTCTCAGCCTTTGTTCAAGTTGGCAACTGTCCCAATGTTGCAGTGCTGGAGTCAGTCTGTTTCTAAAACAAAACTGCTATTTAGGAACTTCCTACACAAAGTTCATCTGTCTTTTTTGTCGGAAACAAGTCTAAAATTGGTGTGGAAAACTTAGATCTTTCAAGAACAACAACTGGCCGAAGATAATGAAGTTGTTTTAAGGCAAGTTCTCCACAGTCTGTTAATGCTTTGTCCAATACAACCCTCAGGTTTTCCAAGGAAGGAACTGTTGTTGTCGTCTCAGCTACAATTAAAGGCGGGATTGCAGTCAAGGTCTCGTGAATTGCAGAGTCACTAGAAGAATGAGGTATGTCAACTTCAGGGTCATTGTCATTCCCTATATTATTTGCCACAACATCCCCTGTTAAGTCATTACTGGGTTGTGAAGTGCTATTTAACATTAAGTGCTCTGAAGGCTCCCAATCATCAAAATCATCTTCTTTCTCTTCACTTTCCTGAATAAATTTCAGAAATGAAGATTCAAATCCCATAGGTTTGTAAGTCTTCAAATCAAACGATCTAGGCTGTGGAGGTTTCCTAAAATTATCTTTTGGGACACTGGTTAGATTTTTTACAGTGCTTTCTTGTCCTGAATTATGCTGCCCAGTTTCTGAGTCTTTGATCCTTGATAAAGGCAGCTGGAAGTTAGAGAAATAAGTCCCACTTTCAGTCCCACTGGGATTAGGTATAGAATTTTCTATTGTACAAGGAGGAGGTGGAGGAGGTGGTGGTGGTGGTGGTGGTGGAGGTGGAGGCTGAACTATATTACATTGTTCCAAAGAAGTGGTTTCTGAACCATGGTTACATTTCAAAGTTCCTCTGTAAAGCAGGGAATCTGTATCAAATCCTGGGGTGCTTACTGTACATCCTTTCTGACCTCCATCCCTTCCACCTGGATGTGGGGACTCAGTGCTCTGGATAAGTGTGCTGCTGTCACCAAGGGCATGACTGTGTTTTATGTGCTCTGCTTCACAGCTTCCATTTTCTTCTTGATTTAGGCTGGGAACAACTTCAGGAGGCGGCTCATCTTTAATTTTGGTACCGTATTTAACACACACAACAAGGTTTTCCATCTGTTGCTCTAAATAGGCACTACTCATCTGATGGGTGCGTTTGTAATGCCTCACAATGCTGCTCTCCAGCTTTACCACAGATAAGCATCCTTGAATCATGCAGGGATACTGGGTGTGCTCAGACTGCTCCACGCACATATGGAGGGCTTCAGCTCTTGTTTTAAATGTGATGGGAGCTTTCTTGTCTTTGACTAAGCCACATTTTTTAGCCTTACTAGTAAAAGACCTCCTGGTGTTTTGCTGTTCATTTCCCTGAGTGTGAGCTGTTTCACACAACTTTTCACTTCTTAAGAGTCTTTCATTTGCTACTTTCTGGCTTCTAAACAGATCATCATAATAGTCCTTATGTCGATAATACACATGTTGAGAGTAATTACTGCGATGCGTGAAGATCTGACCACAGCCATTAAGATCACACTGAATTTCATAATCTGAATGTATTTCTCCTTCAATATTATGTTGTTCCATCAAGTGGTGCTTCAACTTACCCAATGTATAAAAAATAGCAGGGCACTGAGGCTGGTTACAGGAAAACCTAGCCACAGATTCTGCTTCTGAAAGCACTTTAGGCTCTTCAATATTGTCTAGGTTATGAGAGTCACTACAGTGCTTAGCAAGAGCTTTGGAACACAAGAAGCGCTTATTACATTCCTTGTATTTGCAAGCAAATATCTTTTTACATTTGACAAGTTCCCTTTTGGTTCTCGCTTTGTCTTTCTCTAAGCATAATTGTTCTTTGTTGTACTGATGTACAGTTCTATAATGGCGAATTAAGCCTTTTAGATTGGTGAATGAGGAATTACAGGTTTTATGGATACAATGGAATGGTTTGTGGTATTTATTTAAAATATAGCAGAGATTTCCTTTAGCAACAGTTCTCCTTCCTCTACCCTCTCTGCCTTCTCGTTCTTCTCTATGGCTGCCTACTGGTGATGAGACATCAGATGTTTTACTCTCTGTTTCTTCACAAGAGGATTCTAAGTCTGTTTCTGAACTGCACTCATCTTTTTTAGAATGACAGTGTGGCTTCTCAGAGTTGCTGTTGGGATCACCTCCAAGTTCAGCAGAACAATCATCTTTCAACCTATCTACTGAGCACGGGCCTTCGTGATCACATTTCTCACTATCCAAGAGTTTGTGAGTTACTCTGTCACTGCCAATCTGATGTTTATTTTTATAATGAATCCTAAGGTGTGTTTTTCTCGTAAATGACCTCTGGCAAATATGACACTGGAATGGGGAATAACGATGCTGAAACATACTTAATTGCAGGACCTTTTCTTTTGAATAATTATGCTTCTTAAGGTAATGCATTAACAAAGCCTCTCTGGTCACAAATTCATATTTGCAACCTTGAAGCTCACAGAAAAAAGGTTTAGCCGCTAACTGTGCAAGGTACTGACTTGGCACGTTTTCGTCTTGATTCTGAAAATTAAGGTCTGATATAGACGAAACAGATTGAAGAGATTTAGCACCACTAGTTGGGTACCCTTGCCAAGACCCTGAGAAAGACCCATGTGTTATTGAGTTTTTCAAGCTTAAGTGTTTCAAGCGTAGCAAAAGTTCTAACATGGTATCCTCTGTACATGGTCTTTTAGAAGCACAATTGGAGGCCTCTGATGAGTAACCTTGGTATTCTCTTTTACATTTAGTATGAATGTTGTGATCAAGACCTTCATCTGGGGAGTCACTGCTTGTATCTGAACTGGGTTTATGCTCTGCATTAAACTTTTCAGTTGTCTGATTATGTTCATTACCTGAACAAGGAAGGAGCTCTTTCGTCTTTACCTTTTTGGGTTTGAAATGGTAGGGGTGAACCTTTCGAAGATGCCTCTGCATTCCTTTTGCATTTTTGTACGTGTTACCACAGCCTTCAAAACCACAGGTAAACTTATTCCCATCAAAACAAACTGCCACACTGGAGCATTTTTCTTTTAAACTGGAGGGCACGAAGACTTTCTCATGGGACAATAATACATCCTGCACGCCTTCAGAATGATCCAGTGTGTCAATTAACTCTTCATTCATTGAAGTGGAAGAGCTCTGACTTAGCTGGTCACTGGAATTACTGTCACTGTTTTCTTTCAGGTTTTCTGCATCTACTTGAGAATTAGCTGATTCTGTGCAGAAAAGAAGATCCTCAGGTAAATGTGATTTTTCAGTTTGGTCAAGTAAGGGAGGTTGATTAATACAATCTTGCTTTTCATCCGTTGTAGGCTCCTCAAGTTTCACAGATTTCTTTACGTCTCCATTTGAATTTTCAACATTATGCATTGAGAGGTGATTCTGGTATTCAATTTTGGAGTAATAGAACTTTTTACAGCCAAGAAAGTTGCATGTGTAAGATGCATCTCTAAAGTGTTGTGCTTCATGGTGATAAAGCTGTCCCAAATCACTAAAAACAATATTGCAGCCATTTAATTCACATTTGTAACGCAGATCGTCATGTTTCTGTTTGTGGTTTAGCAGTTCATTTACTGATCCAAACCTAGCATAACAATCTATAGATACACACATGTAAGGCTGAGGACCACAATGCACTTGTTCATGCTCCCGCAGGTGAAAAGCTGACATAAAATGTCGCCGACAGTAAGTACACTTCTCTCTTCTGTTTTTCATGTCCAAGTAGTGCTTGGCATTTTCATCATTATTTTGGTGTTCAGCTTTAAGATGCACACTTAAGTATTTAAATTGCTTAAATACACGGGAACAGTCTGTGCCAGGACATGGGTACAAATCTCTGTCTTGCAGGTGGCAGTCTTCTAATTTGCTGAATGTGACATAATCATGAGATTCTCCTTTGGCTTGTTCATTCAGTGACTGATTCTGCTCCAGGGTTCCAGAGGGGCTCTTCGGACAAATACCCTTTTGAGAGCTTTTCAACAGTAACTTCTTTCTAGAGCGGTCTCGTCTGCTTGGTGGCATTTTCACATGTTCCATCACATGAGGAACAAATATTTCTTTTCTCTTGAATTTTCTAATACAAACTGGACAGGTATAAACGCCATCTTCCATATGCATTTTAGAATGATGAAGAATCCTGGCCTCTATGCATTCTCGCTTACACAACAAACAGAAAAACTTATACTGAAGCCACCTCTGGTATCTTTCGGAAGAACCAATGGGCTTTTTGTCTCTTTTCTCCTTATGCTGGTCTGTCAAATCTCTTTTTCTAAATTGTTTATCATCCTTACCCTCCTCATAGTCACTGAGAAATGACTCTAAAACATCTGTGTCATTAATGGATATTTCATAGCCACTTAGGTCGTCATCAGAATCTGAGGCTTCTTGTCCTAGGAGTTGGTGGCAGTGTCGTTTTAAAGTTTTCCAGTCCCAAAACTCAGGATCAAAAGGCCAGTGGGCTTTCAAAGCTAGTAAGAGCTCACATCGTAGAGAATTTGGAACTGGTGCATTTTCTTCATCAAATTTCTGATCTGGTTGCACATACAATTCTTCTAACATATTGAATCCATCCAAACTAGGTTCAATTAAGAATTCTGTAAGTTGACAGGCTCGTCTAACTTCTAAATCTTCTGGTAAAAGACAAGCAATTGTTTTACAAACGGATGCCTTCATTTCCTCATCCTCACTTGATCTGAGTTGAAGAGCTCTGACACATAGCAAAATAGATACCCCAAGACCAGCATCTTGTGCCTATAAAGAGAGAAAGGAAAAGGGTTATATACACATTTTTTCATAGAAATAAAAAAGAATAGGCACTGCATGACTTTCATGGGGGGAAAAAAAGACAGGTTAACTCCCAAAACCTTTAGAGTTCTTATAATTGAACTTATACTTTTCTTGTTTCAACACATAAATTATCGGATTAGATGTCTCAAGTATGAACAAAACATACATTTACTGCATTTCAAAAATTATCAGGCACTGAATATTAAAGCCGTTCTGAACATTTATGGTTTATATAATAAATGTTAATAAACATTAAAGGAATTCAGAAGAAAAAAGTCACTGAAGTAAATCAGGTAAGGCTTAAAGCAATGATTTAAATCCACGATTGAATTAAACTTAAATGCATGTGTCACGTATAACTGGGTGGTGAGTTCAGTAAAAGAAACGGAAAAGATCTGGTGTGAAAAACAAGGTATATGAAGTTTGTTAAGTAAACCAGTAAGAAATGAGGGAAAGCCTCTCATTTTAGCCTAAGAGAACTAGTACTTTATTGTCATAAAAGTACTTACTCTTAGCTACCCATAGTGGTAACTGCTTTTAGGGTAAGAAGGGGGCAGGGATAGAATGGGTGTGGGCTACTATAAAAGCAGGTTCCCCTCCCAAATAGTCAACAATTAGGAAGATTGGGTTATGTGTGCTAAAAGCTTAAAGCAGGTGACATGACTTATTTGAGAGGCTATAGTAGAATGTGAAAATAACATGAGCAAGGATCAAATAACAGAATGGTTTAAAGTGCAGAGGTTAAGAGTCTATAAGAGACTTAATGCTAGCCTCCATTTCATCACCCTGACAAAACCTTAACTCCTCCAAGCCTGTATTTTCTATCCAGAACAAATGTTTTGGGTTTGGCACCATTCTAACTGCCCACAACTAATCATAAAATACCAAAATAAAACAAATACATTGCCTTCATTTTACAGAATCCTTACTACACCATTTCATTTAATGCAAGATGAAACCAACGCTCAGAAAGATAATGAAATGGCCCAAGATTCCAAATGGTATAAAGAGGAGAAAGGATTTGAACTTAGAGCAATCTATTATTCACAAAGCCCGAGTTCTTTTTTATTTTTTAATATTTTTAATGAGCATTTACAGAGGTTTTGGATTTCCATTCATTCATTGCTGCACTTTTCTCCCCGCCCGCCCCCCCCCCAGTTCGCTCCTCTCTTTCAAAAGTAAAAGAAACACTCCCTCCCTGGGACACAATCCCCCCACACCCCTCCCGCCGCCCCAAGTACATTCCACTATGCAACCTTAATTGTAAAGTTCTTGAGCACTCTAAACCATACTGACTAAAAAGGTTAATTGATTTGGCATTATCTCGCGTACCTTCAACATTCATGCTCCCCTGTGCTTGGTTTAAATCCTACAAATTTATTAATTTCTATTAATTTATTTAAAATTCAACTCTATACTCTATGCTCTACAATTGATTTATTCACCACTCTTAGTTGGTAACTTCATGGTACATCTGTTCAGAATACATACGTCCAATTGTTATGACTCTTTGAAAAGTATTCTAAGTGATTTCGTAAATTTTACCATATGGTTAGACTACTTAAGAATGAAGGGACATGGGGAGCTTTGGTGGCCTAGTGGCAAGGAGCTGCAACTACAATCCCAGAGGCGCACGGTACGAATCCACCAGATGCTCTGCTGGGGAAGGAGGAACAATCTCCTCCTGTACCAGTCAGATCTGATCTGATGGTACACTCACACAAAAAAAAAAGAAAAGAAAAAAAAAAAGAATGAAGGACATTCATTTCTACCTACCATAGTCTTCCAAAAGGAAAAAATAAATAGTTGTGAACAATCAGTGGATTATTTTAACTTACCTCTTTTCAAGTCGTCTGTGCATGTATTTAACAATAATTTTTTTCATCCCATTACTCTATTATTAGAGTCAAGAAACTCATCTATGGTCCAACAGATTTAAGATGACTGACCACTTTACACCCCATCTACCTCAAAATACAACCAAAGCTATAGGGTTGCTATACATTGCAGTTGACACAATGGTACATAACAACAATAACATACTATGACAGGTTTGGAAGCAGGAGTGGCACCCACTTCCTAAATACCATGTCTCCGGAAACTTTATGAACTTTGATAAATGTCGACAGTTGTAGAGGGGCTTCAAACCTTTTGTTTTAGGGTTGCTATGAGTCGTGCTCGACTCGAAGGAAATCAACACCACATTCAGTTACATGATTTTAAAAGTGTGGGGAGACACCCTGGATTCTCAAGTTATCCCTTCCCATTATAGCTTTTTAAAGAGTTGATCTGATTTAATTACACTACATATAGGAAAATTAAAACCAGAAAATAAAGAAGTGCTTTTATAAGGCCTTCTCTATTAAATATCGTTGCCTTCTGCAAGAGTTCTAATGCCCATACAGGTTTATTACCAACTTAAGCTTTTTCCATACCAAGATGGAAATCACTTATGCGATTGGCTACTACTGTTACAATAGCCTTAACCCTGTCCTGAAAACCCCAGTATTTTATCTGGTTATACAGCCACTAGACTTCTCACAATTTTTTTAAAGGGTAGTTGTAAAACCATCTTTTAAAACAAGGCAGTTTTGTAATTACTTGAAGATACCTTTTCTGGGATAAGAGACAAATTTATTAAAGAAAATTAGAAATAATTATTACCCAATTTGCTTAACTGTTGTTAATTTACTTCTGATAACCATTTTTCTCTATCCTCATCTTCCTAGGGACTAAATCAATAGATTTAAAAAAAAAAGTGTTGTTGTTGTTAAGTGCCACTGAGTCGCAGACGCCTCACAGTGACCCTATGAAGGAGAGTCCTCAACACTTGTGTGTCTCTCATCCTCTCTCCAGGTTCATAGGGTTTCCAGAGGCAGCCGCTCCTACTTCCAAGGTTAAATAAAGTGTAGGATATAGAAAAGTAATGGCAGAAAGGGAATGTAATCAAAGATAAATTATGCTTTAACTTTAGTACAAGCAATTCTTCGATATTATCAAAGAAAAACAGCCCAACAGCAAATTTTGGTGGATGAGTATATAAAAGTTCAATGAATGTGATTCGAATCCACCAGTGACTCCTCAGGAAAAGATGGGTAATTTCCTCCTGTGTGATTTACAACCTCTGACAATCCCCTAGAGGGTCAGTTACGAGTTGGTTCCGACTCAATGACACAGAACAACATGTAAAAAGTTAAAAAATGAGCACAGCATTAAGAACCATCCAAACACCTAGGCTCCTAACAGTTGCATATAGCTATAAAGGCAAACTCATTTCCCAAATACATTTAACTTGTTTCTTATTTGTTTATAGAAAAAATAGGTTATATATTTTTTACATAAGCTTAAAATGTGTGTGCAGTCCATTTTAGAACTGCTGCATTACTCTAAAATTTATAATAAATATGCCCATATCAAATACAGAACATTGCACAAGGGTAAGTAAATATTAAGTCGTTGTAGTAACAGTAATGTACATAGTCTCTTTCTTTTCCCTGAACCTAGGATGTTGTCACCTCAAATAACTAATTCCCACTCGGAATTAAAATAAAAAAATAAAAAAAAAATAAATCATTGATTACTATGACATCAAATTTCAGAAACAGTTAAAAATGTTTGAGTTTGCAATCATAACATGTTCCATTATTTTTTTTATTTCCCTACACCTAAAATATTTTTCTGGGAAATGATCTTCCAGCTACATTCAGCAAGGAAAGCACAAATTACTCACTTCAGTTTGTATCACTCTAATCAAGCAAAATAAATGCTGTTGTGTTTTTGCTATGACACCAAACTGACGACAGCGCTCCAAAAAAGTGTCTACAGAAGGGTCAATTCTTCTCTGCAGTTTACTCCAAAAGAGAGTCAGTTCCCTATAAAAAGAAAAGAAATGGTAGGATATTTAAGACAATTTATAATTGCTTCCCCCAAATACCCTTTTTGGTTGACATAGAGTAAATAAAACCTGGAAAAAAAACCTATTTATACTCATTATTGTTTCCCCCAAAACAAATGAACTTGTTAAGAATTCTTCCAGAGATTGTTTCCCATTTCTGTCAGGCAAAAGCCAAAACAAAATAAACGAACAAAAAATACCCAGAAAAAGACTACATCCTCTTTTTTTTAATTGAGATTTTAATGAAAAGTTTATATACATCCCCTATATTTTTAAAAACTTAATTTAGATTCCATCTTGGTCCAAAAATTTAAAATGGAAATGATCTTTACTGAATTAAAATGGCATCCTAATAGGCAGAAATCATTAGATGTCACTATAGTGTCAACAAAATATGTATAACCAATAGCAATTCTTTCTCTCTCTCTATTGATATTTGGTACTATTTTAAGATTTGAAATGTCATAATTGTACTTGAGCCTTGATTCTGGAGTATTTTAGTGTACCTAATAAAATAATACTGTTGAAAATGGCTAAAATACAGGAATTTATTAAACAAACAAAAAATTTTAAGTTAAATAAAAATATTAGTAGGTAAGAGAAAAATGTTCAGGCACTAAAAACTTGAAAATGCCAAGGACAAAAATGCTAAATAATGAATATACAGAAACAAAAGTGTGTTATCAGTTAAAAAAAGATATGGCTCTTTTGCTATAAACAATGCATTGGTAAAATGAATTTTCTTAAACAATGATATACTTTATTTGAACATAAAGAGAGGTGCTCTCAAGTTGATTACGATTCATAGTAATCCTATGAACAATATATTTGAACCTTGCCTTATCCTGCACCATGTTCATGATCTCCACTGTGCTCAAGGCCGTTGTTACAGTCACTGTGTCAATCTACTCTGTTGGGGCGGGGGTTGTTCTTCTATCTTTCCCAGCATGGTTTCTTTTTCCAAACACTAGTCACTTCTGACATTGCTGTTGTTACTATGTGCCGTCGAGTCATCTGGCACTGCAACTCACAGCAACCCTATGTACGATAGCCCTGAAACCTGCTCTATGCTGTGCCAACCTTATTTGTCTCTGACACACCTACCCCATTAAACCCAGTCACTGAATCAAACTGTCTCATCGAAAGTCGTCTTTTCCTGCGCTGTCCCTCCACACTTCCAGGCACGATGTCCCTCTCCAAGGACTGGTTCCTCCTTGCAACATGCCCAAAGTATGTCAGACGAAGCCTCAGAATCCGGGCCTCCAAAGAGTAACCTGATTTCACCCTCTCCAGAATGAACCTGTCTGTTCTCCTAGCAGTCCATGGTATATTCAATACTATTCTCCAGCACCAAAGTTCAAAGGCATCAATTCTTCTTCTATCACCCCTAGTCATTGTCCAGCTCTCTGATGCATAGCAAGTAATGGCAAAGACCATGGCCTGGATCAGGCACACCTTAGTCTCCAGACTGACATCGCTGCTTCTCAGTACCTTGGAGGTCTCTGACAGCAGACTTTGCCAATGCAATTAATCTTTTAATTTCCTGGTAATTTCCTGGCTGCTGGTACTAAGAGTGTTGATTGCACAGCGAAGCAAACTGAAGCTGTCAACAATCTCAATCTCTTCACCATCTACCATGATGCTACCAATTGGTCCAGTGGTGAGAATCTTTGTTTTTTTGACGTTGAGCTTTAATCTATATTTAAGGCTGTAGTTCTTGACTTTCTGCAGCAAATGCTTCAGGTCCTCCTCAGTTTCAGCAAGCAAGGTTGTGTCATCTGCATATCGCAGATTGTTGGTAAGTCTACCTCCAATCTTGATGGTAAGTCTACCTCCAATCTTGATGCCACACTTTTCCTCATAGAGCTCAGCCTCCTGGATAATCTGTTCTGCATATAGATTAAAAAGATACGGAGATAGGACACATCCTTGACGCACACCCTTCCCAATTTTGAACCATGCAGTGTTTCCTTGCTCTGTTCTGACAACTGCCTCCTAGTCCAAGTATAAGTTTCACATAAACACAATCAAGTGTTCTGGGATTCCATTCTTCTCAAAGTCAGCCACAGTTTTTTGTGATCCACACAGTCAAATGCCTTTGCAAAGTCAATGAAACACAGATAGACATTCCTCTGGTACTCTCTGCTTTCAGCCAAGATCCATCTGACATTAGCTATATATCCCTAGTGCCACAACCTCTTCTAAATCCAGCCTGCACTTCAAGCAGTTCTCTGATGTGCTGATCGTTTTGAGAATCTTGCTTGCATGTGATATCAATGATATTGTTTGATAATTTCCATGCTCTGTTGGATAACCTTTATTTGGAATGGGAATACAGATCTCTTCCAGTCATAAGAAACAAATTAAAATACAGTGGCTTGGATTAGGTGCACCTAAGTCTTTAAACTGACAACTTTGCTGTTTAACATTTTAAAGAGGTCCTTGAGCGTAGTTTTTCCCAATGCAGTATCTCTTTTAATTTCTTGACTGCTGATATCACAAGTGTTGATTGTGAACCCAAGCAAAATTAAATAGTTGACAACTTCAACCCTTTTCCATATTTTAGAACTGTTTCAGGTGTTAGGATTTTGTTTTCCTTTTGATGCTGAGATGTAATCGATTATGATCTTCTGCAGCTAGTGTTTCAAGTGTTCTTTACTTTCTACAACCAAGGTTGTGTCATGTGCATAACATAGGTTGTTGATGAGCCTTCATCCAATCCTGATACCACCTTCTTCATTCAAGTTCACCTTCTAGAATGATTTGCTCAGCATACTGACCGAATTGGGTATGGAAAAATGATACAACTCTGACACATACCTTTCCTGATTTTAAACCATGCACTATTCCCTTGTTCTTTTCATACAACTGCTTCTTGGTCAATGTATAGGACTCATATAAGCATAATGAAGTATTCTGAGATCCCATTTCTTCTCAACATTATCTGTAACTTGTTATGATACACACAGGTAAAATGCTTTTGCGTAATCAATAAAACAGAAGTAAAAAGCCATCTGACACCAACAATAACATCTTTATTCCACAGCCTCTTTGCAATTCAGCTTAAATTTCCAGCAGCTCCCTATCAACAGACTGTTCTAGTTGTTTATTAGTAATCTTCAATAAGATTTTATTTGCAAATAATAATAATAATAATAATAATGTTATGTTCTGTAACATACACTTTGTGGTATCACCTTTCTTGGAAATAAAAAGCAATTAAGTTTGTTTTATTTGTGATGGCTCAAATGTGACAGTATTAACTGTAAGCATTATTCATATAAACCTTTTGAAAGATTGCATAGTCATTAAAAAAAAGACTATGAAGCACAAATTCAAGGTTAAAAAATGACAACAACTCTTAATTGGAAAGAATATAATTTAACAATTTTCCTGCACTTTTCAAAAAAAGTAATCAGGGATGGCTGATTGCAGCAGGTGGCAGGGTGAGGCCATCCACATGGCCACAACAAAAAGTGTGTGGGAGCCTGGCAGGCGCAAGGCACTGTTGCCTCGCTGGCCCATCAAATGAGCCAAACTTGAATGTGCACATGCCCACCTCTGCCCTCAACGGGGCTGGGAGTATCCACAACCTGTCAGTACCATCAGCTGCTTCGTGACTATGACTATGGGCCACCATCCCTTGGGTATATCCAGAGCGCTGGGAACAGCCAGGTGCTACAGAGCAAGTACATGGAGCTGCTGGTCATCACTGAGGAGCTGGGCAAGGAGATTAAGCCCACCTATTCCGTAAGGAGAGACAGGTCCTTGGAGAGGGACATCATGCTTGGTAGGGTAGAGGGACAACGCAGGAGGGGAAGACCCTCTATGAGGTGGATTGATTCAGTGACTGGGATAATTGGGATGGGTGTGTCAGAGGCAATGCAATTGGCACAGGACAGAGCAGGGTTTAGGGCTGTTGTACATAGGGTCGCTATGCGTCGCAAACGACTCGACGGCACATAACAACAACAACAATTCCGGGAGCAAGTGTGCCATGGAGCGGTTGAAGCGAGGCATCATTCATGCCAGGAGTCTGGTCCAGGAGTACTTGGCTGAGACTGAACTCAACATCAGATCGTAGTGCCTTGCTGGCCTTCAGGACTATCCATCTCTTCCCAGGATGAGAAGTACCCGCTCATCTCCCCTATTTTCTTTGTTTTCAAAGTGGTAACTTTTCCTTTTTTTTCTTGTTTCCATTTCCCTTCTTGGGTTCACAGGCTGTGAACCTCCTGTACCTAATAGTGGGAGAGTTTGCACTTGGGTAGGATCTGCATTTTCAATAGACAGGCACAACTCAGGTTTGGTTCTTCTTTCTCAAGTCTTGATTTACAAACAGTGAGGGAAGTTATCAATTTTGTGGCAAACTATAGAGCCTGTGTGTCTCATCTTCCTCTTCTCTCTCACTTAATGTCACTGAGACTGTCCTTGCCACCCTGCGCCCCATAAGGTAACAGCAACCTTCAAGATCTTGTTTGTCCCATGAATACTGATAGTGCACTTGCTTAGTATCTGACACCCCACTCAGTGTCCATCCGGCATAGATTCTGCTCAACAAAACTCTTGCTTAAGCATTTGCATGATTTATAGAGTGCTTTAAAGTCAATTTCAAAAATGTAAATGCACGAGTTATAAATACAAAGAACATCTGACTAAATGCATACTGAGGCAGTCTTGGCGATTTCAGCTGCGCATTAACGTTGATCAGACCATTGGGGGGAAAATGACCCACATCTTTGTATGTATTTATTACTTAAGGTAATAAAGCTTATTTTCATTTTAAAAAAAGTAAGTGAAATTCTCATAAGGAAATAAGTAAAACTTTGTTAAAAGACTGAAGTGATTATTCAATGTTTCAAATGGTATATAAAGGCAAATTCTACCATAATAAAATTAATTTAAAATCCTTGTAAAGAAATATTTGTTTTTGTGAGTTGTGCTGTTTTTATAGCAAGAGAAAGTGAAAACTTCAGATGA